TCAAACATGCATGGCATGAGCCACAAGCGGCCGATTAAAAGTCTCCCTCTTAACATTGTTTTATGAGCCTTTTATAATCAAAGTGTTTATTTAACTAACAAGTGGAACTAAGCTAGCTTTAATTTGGTGTTGAATAGTTTTAATTATGCTTTGTTTGGACAATTTTGGTTTTTGGATTTATTTGGAAGTCCTTTCATTGTTTACTCGAATAAACGAGGTGATTAGACCAATAGACCTTTATCACAAATGGGATTATATAGTCAAACACGTATGCTCACTTTGTAACTGTATGATACGAGATTGATGCTTCCTCGTTGGTGCATGCTCCACACCCATCCAATTTTTTGATATAGAGTGTTACAAGGGCAAATGGTGTTAGACGAGATATAATCCCATGTATTGATTATTACATGATAGAGTATAAAACATATTCCTGAGGCTCAACCATTAGGTTAAGCTTTTGGTTGAGTTGGTTCTTTAACATGGTATCAGAGCCAACGTGACATAGAGGTCACGAGTTCGAATCTCATCCACCCCTCCTTTCAAAGTGGAATATTGCACGATAGTAATAAAATTAAGCTAAGTAGAATAATTTTTTTAAAAAAAAAACCTTAAAACTGACATCATATATTGTATTGGCGAGAAATTTTTTAATGATAGCTTGACATATATCTAAAATTATCGATGTAAGCATGACCTGTTTTAGTAATAGTTAATAGTTTTTTAAAGGAAAAAATAAAGTTATAAGTTGGTACAATTATTATAGAAATATTTAACAGAAAAACTAACTTATTTTTTAATATTTCATAAGATTTCAAATCAACACTATGAATAGAAATGTTTTTTTTTTTCTCCATTGAACCCCATTATTGTACAACTATATAATAGTAATTTACATGGTAATATTGTATTTTATTTTGGCCCTGTCCGTACTTCAACCTTCTAAATTATAGCTTATTCTTCCTTAATTAAAAGATCTCAAAAATCTTGTGTAACTATTTTAAGTAAACAGAACACGAAATAATAAGAAATACAATATTATAAAGATAATATATAAGATTAGGAATAATATATTATTATAATAGTTGTATTATACAAATATTCCAAAATAAAAGTTTTTTGCTAAAAAAGGAGAGGGAGTTTTGGAGGCAGGAAGTGACATGTGTCATTCCTGATGTCTGTTTTAGTATTATGTTACGTTATTGACTAGAGGAGAAAATAAAACAATTAGAGAAAATCCAAATTCTAAAAACTACCTAACTAGAAGTTGATTTAGATAATAATTCAACTTATGAAGTCGCTATTAGCCACAATTTCAAAAGATTAAAGTAAAATGCAATTCTTGTTAATGGAAGAGTCAAAATTATGAGCAAGAAATATCAAACCGGTAGTTGAGAAAATATCAAGATTAAAATAATGAACTCCTAATTTTGTGGTGTTAATCTCATACAACAAATATTACTTTTTTTGAGAAAACAACAAATATTACTTAATTAATCTCAAAAGATCTCTTAATTTTAAATTCACCTTATATTTGGCAAAATATTAAAATGTATAGATTCTTATATTCCTTCAAATATCTCATCAAACGTGTGGATTGGAGCAATTTACTCCAGCTTGCACACATATTTGATCATTAGTGGGGTTTGAAAAGTTTAGCAATGTTAAGTAGGGTACGAACCATTCTTAACCATTCATTAATTATTAAATAATTGTAATTAAACTTGATTATATATATGATTAGGCCCATCAAATCTTCATAATCAAAATTGTTAATTAAATCATATAAAGTCATTGGACATATAAATTGTTGTAGGAGTAGTTAGTACTAATCTATTATCAAGCCCTTCTTTCTTTCCAGCCTAAGCATGCTTTGATTGAATATTATGTCCCCTATATATTATAATTATAGGAAAAAAAATGTTGTACTATAGTTTTTTAATTCAAATTTTTTTAAATCTTGGAGTACAACATTGTTTAGAAAATCATGATGATTTCATGTGGTTGATAATTGTTCTCATTAGTCTTAGGAATCTAATGCTTTACATCACCTTTAGAAGTTGTTGCAGTATAATACTTGTACTATACCACTAAAATATTATTCGGGAAAATATCTAGTTGTATGTTGTATCATATAACGTCTCATTATTCGACAAATGGCACATCTTGTACTTGACAATTGTCGTTCATCTATTGTAGTCGCGAGTCTATAGGTCTCTCTAAAATACACATGTATAAATGTATAATGAGTAAAGATTAAAGAACATGCGTTGTTATTTTCATAAGTAGGTGCGTGTACATTAACGGGGAACTTTGATTTTTTTTTTTTTTTTTGACAACGGCATTGGGGAACTTTGATGATGCACCCGAAAAGGGTGGAATGAGCCTCAAATTTAAACAAAAAAGCTAATCTAAAACTTAAATAGACAAAATTGAATTAAAGTAAGCCAGGTATTCCTTAATTTTTGCACTTGTAGAACATTAGTAGTTAATTTTATTTTAATCAAAGATGTAAATTTTGAAAGTAACTTGTAGAGTTGCATATATATGTAAATTTTTTCATGTGTTAGCTCTATAATAATCTACGAGTATCTTTTTTGCAAAAACTGATCAGGTATTCCTTTGGTACATCTCTTATAAATGTATATGTGCTTATATCATATTAATATGATCAGTATAGTTGTATATTTATGATGATTAATCACATAACCAAGCTACTTAATAAATGCAATTTTGTCTCTTAATATAACTCTGAAACATGCACAATTACATGTTATTTTAGTCCAGTAAAAATGACCCTAAAAATTAGGTGAATGTTTTCTTTTTTTTTTGGGTAAAGATTAGCTAGGTGAATGGTTTGTAAAATTAACGAACTTTGAACTTGCATTGATAAAAGGGGTGATGTAATTTGACAATTATACTCTTTTTAGTTGTTTTCATCGGAAACTATAATATTATAACATCTTAATTAATATCTTATCATAGTTATGAATTGACATTGTGAAGTCTACTTTGAATATAATTGATTCAAAGCTATTATTGCAATTTATTTGAACTTAATTCTCCATAATCTTTACTAATGAGAGAAAGACAAAGTCTAGGCCCTCTTGACGGATGAATATTTTGGGGTTAAGCAATGAATATTCCCTATCTCAATGCAATGACGGATAGTGTTCATATAATCTACGAGTGGTTCAAAATTGTTTCTTGTATTCCATTTTGCACCATATGAGTTATTGTAATCTTTTTATTTCATATGTGAAACCGAGCCAATAAAAATGGAAAAAATATTATAAGACGGAGAGAGTGCATATAAATTTATAAGTTGAAATTAGTCTTCACAACTTCACTGGGAAAAAAGAGCATAAATTATGACTATTATGAGCCAATATACCAATGGTAATACATCATATTTAGCGCACACAATAGTACTCTAGACTTATTTAACAACATCAATTAGGTGAAGATGTTGCACATGCTTCTTAAAAGAAAAGGATGTAACATACAATCATTTTGAAGGCTGCAAAAGTCTATCATATATATACGGTCCTCTTAAAACCAGAAAAGCCATCAATTAGTCCCTTATCATGCACTCCAAATTCCTTCAGCCAAGACCAATATTCAAGTTAATGTTCTATTGTTCTTTAAGCTTCTTTTGTATTTCAATGAGTATTCCTCCTCTTTCTCTTTCCAGTAAATGTCGAGTCTTTCAACCTCATATTCTCAATAAGTTAATGAATATTCAACGTTATTGGCATTATTGCCCATTTAAGAGACGAATTTACTCAAAAGTAAATATAGGGTACCTTCATGTATAATTGATACGGACTAGATCAATGTCATGCTCTGTACGATGCAGTAACTTCACTACGAGTATAGTATATGGCGGCATGCTAACTAGGTAGATGGACTCCTCGAGTCATCTCAAAAAAAAATTGAACAAAATAATTAGAAAAGTTTGGTTGATGTCGATTTCTACTACTGTATCAAAAGTGTGTGGTTCATTGAAAAAACATGTACATTAGACGAGATTAAAATTTGTCTACTGCACGGCATTTCTAAAGAAGATGTCTAATGTCTAATACACAATTTAAAGCCATGCCTTTTGCATTCCTTCCTAGACAATGGCGCGCTATCTCGATCAATCACACTAACAAGACAAATCCTTCTACGCTCCATTTCATTTCATCTCATGCATCTTTTATTTCGAGGTTTATTCAAGGAGTAGTTTTTTTTTATTATTATTATTATTATTATTATAACAAAAACCTACAAAGTCAATTATTAATATTATTATTATTATATATTCTATTCATTAAATATTCATTATTATTATTATTATTATTAGATTATTATAAAAAAGTACTATGATACGTCAACTACATCAAGTACCCCACTGCCCATTTTTGTTACCTTCCGCAGATTTTGCCTTAAAAAATTAACAATTTCTCATTATACTGTAAACAATTTCGAAAAGAAATTTTTAAAAAATTGTATTACGGAGTAACATAATTCAAAGAAATCAGCACAAAATGTTGGTTCAAATACATTAACCATAATGGATTACTTTAAGATAATACAGAGTAATATTTTCAATTAATCGTTGATCTCGTCTTTGATGTATGACTGTATGAGACTCGTTAATATTGATCCATCTACAAAGGTAGATAAGGATTTAGCCATATAAGGAAGATCTATCTATGAAAAATGTATAAGATGGTTGCTATTGATTATTATTCCAAATATAATTCAACACTTCTAACTATATTAGCCACAAATCTAATGAAATAGATTAAGTAATCCTATATTAGTATGTTAACATTCTTGAACAACATCATGCAATGTTAACCATCACATTTCCATATTTATATATGCTCAAGTTTCCTTCTTAGTGTTGCATCCGCAACGCATGGGACAACTAAACCTCAACGGCTGCCTGAGTGAGGCAGGTAAAATTTAACGTAACAAAAGATAACAAAGACGTATGAGTAGTTTGTTAGTTGAACAAAATAATGATAATCACATAACTACCATGATCTCATTTTAAGTTTTAGATTTAGATACATACATTCTCAAATACGGAGTAACAAATAAAAAAACCCACAACTCCATTTTTTAAACCTACCAACCAATCTAATAATCTACCATTCCACATTGTCTTATACAAATAAATCCCAAATCCTACTCATCTTCATCTTAATCTTAATTTTGTTCTCATAATAATATTCAAGTGGAACAACTAATTTCTTTTTTTTTTTTTTTTTTTTTTTTGGTAATTATTTTTAGAAAATTAAAATTACAATTAGCATTCAGCCCAACCTTCCTCGTGATCCTTACGTGATCGCCTGCGTTTAATAACACGCGCGATTTTCGCTTCGGTAGCCAAGATCAGCTTAGCTGGCACTCCCGAGATCTGCTCCAACCTTCTCAGATCTTGACACGTGGACGCCGCCGATGACGAACTCCGGGACCCACAAACCCTAATTGCCACCCAAAACGACGCCGCTAAGGAAACCCGAAAGGGCCAAACCGTAATTCCATCCAAACAGCCACTAAGCAATTCAACCGCCATGTTCACCACTTTACCGTAATCTCTCTCTTCAACAACACCCATCCTTTTGCACCAATTTACCAAAATACCCTCCACCTTCAAATCCACCACCACCGTACTGTTCCTCTCTCTCCTCCGTACATCCACCTTCGCTCTCTTCCTCACCGATGAAGTCGATGATGACGTCATCTCGGCGGCGTCTTCCGCCGCGTCTCCGGTGCTCGAAATGCAGGAAGACGACGATGAGAGAGAATCGTCGTCGTTGTCGTCATCCGCCACGTCAGCAACCTCGCCGGAGTTTGTCTTCGGAGGAGAGCAATCGCGGCAGAATAAGGTAGAAGGAGGAGGAACTCCGGCACCAGAAAACCTTTTACCGTCGGTTTTCCGACAATTAGGGCAAATCAACGAACGCACATGACGAGCAACAAGGAAATTCGCACAGTGAACCTTAGAATCACAAGTGTAGCATAAAAAAGCGTTGTCGGAAGGACAATACAGCGACGCTTCACCACTGCAGAGCTCGCAATTACGATTCACCATTTCCACCATTTTTGTAAAACTTCGCCAACAATCAATACTATGAAAAACCTTGAAACAACGAAGGACTTGTAGAGGAGAGAGAAAGAGGAGGAGGAGGAAGAAGAGGGAGAATATATGGTAAGAGCGATAGGAGAGAAGGTTTTGATATGGAGAGAGAGAGGAGAGAGAATCTTGAAATAAGGGGACACGGGGCGAGGAGAGAGAAAATGAGATGAGTGGTGGAATGAGGAGAAAGAATCAATGAGTATTTTTTGAAATTATGTGGATTAGGAAGGTTTTATATGTATATATATAAATCAATAAATGCAAATAAATAAATAAAAAAAAAAAAATTGAAGGGAAAATAAGGGTATGTGGAAGAAAAAAGAAGGGGCTTCTAATGACCACAAATACCTCGTTTCTCTCGAAACACTCAAATTTGAAAGGAGAGAAGAGATGTTTGTTTTGGACTTTGTATTATTTTATTTTTTTGATTTTTGGAATGTGGTTGTGTTATTTGCCACATTAGTTTTTTAACTGGTTTTTGAGGGCCCTACTCCATGAAAAAGAATGGTGGTTATTAGAGTTTGTGTTTTTTCGTTTGAATTTTTCAAAACTCTTTCCTTCCATTAAAAAATATCTATGTGTCTTAAGCTATTCTATTAGCTTTAGTTTTGTCATTTATTGTTTTTGTTAATGTAAAATTGAGTCAAGGCGATGTGGCAACGATCGTGTGATGCGTTTAGAAGTATCGTTTATAGATAGAAGTTACGAACGTTCAAACTAATACTCGTGTTTGTAAATGTAATCATCGATTAGATTAGAAATTACGGTCCTACTAAAGTGTATTTGCATTGAAATTATTAATCATTACTCATATACTCTATATTATTTTATAGTTATACAGTATTTTTATAATTATAAGTATTCAGTTAAAGATGATATAAAAATGATGTGTCAAACGTTTGAATTTGATAGCGCGCGCTTAAAATATACATCTGACAAATAATCGCGGTGTTACCAATTACACATCATATTGTTTAATGGTCAACGAAATTCGTTACCACAATCATAATCTAAGGGTAAGTGGTTCTATAAATCTCCCCTATTCAATAACATGGAGAAGTTACCATGAATTTAGGATATATGTTGCACTTGGTTGTCACAAGATATGCAAAGTAATTTAGCGGTAACACATTGTAGATTTACCACATGAATCTAGACAATATTAAGCAAATCAGAAACAAACTATACAGTGTCCGTTATCTCCGCCATTTAATCTAGAGATATTAAGCGCAATACATTGACAACTTCTCCATCCTAGTAGCTTAGTTATGGTTAACTTGGCTATTTATCCTTAAATTAAGGTAAACTTGTATATTAAATAAAACACGTGTAAACATGTTTTTTCTTATTGAATGACACGTTGATCACCTAAAAACTTAGCGAGTAATTTGTAATATACTAATCTGTATCATTATTGTTTAACCAAGTAGAAACGTAAATAGCTGTAAAAATCTCCTTGAATGCGAAAAATTTACCTATAATTTAGGAGGTATATTGTAGTACTAGATTTTGAAAGGAGATAATTAAGCTTTGATTAACACATTGCATGTTTCACTTAAAAGAATTCACTTCATGAACTTATAAAGTATTTGTATGCATATTCACCAATAATTAACCTTAGTATTGTGAGCTAAATATGCAAATCAATGATTGTTCATTAAATTGGGAAAAAAAAAAACAAAAAAAAACAGCAATCCTATAAGTTGGTTATCTTACTTTAAATGAAGGCAACATTTAATTAGTAACTCTTCTTCATTTACGTATATATATTTTAACCATAGTACGAAAAATACACGTAAATACATATAATAAAAAAATTTAATAGATTGACGCGTTGATCCAAAAATCTATTATTGTTTAACATTGAACAAAGGTTAAAAAGGATGGAGATGGAAACATCAATCAAAGAGTTATCCCATGAAAACAAATAATAAATGGATCCAAGTGTGTGATTATAGGTCATACAATTTCATAACAAAAATTCAACCGTCCATAGTTCCCAAAGAAATTCAACCACCCAAGAAAGTTAGTTAGGTGCAAATTTGTGATACATATTTATAAATTTTTTTAAAATGATTTGAACAAATATAATCAGTCAAAATAGCCACCAAAAATATCTGAAAATTAAAAATATAAATTTGAGGTTATTATGAATTGATGGTAAATTCTTGGTTTATTTTTCAAGTGAAAGTGGGACCCAATGGATGAACACAACGTGGCAATTCCTTAATCCATGTCATAGTCGATGATGATCAAATGGAAGACGCGTCAACTAATTTGGACACAAGCACTGGAAGCTTCAGTATTACTAGTTGTTGTATATACTCCCACCACTTACTAACATTCATTTCATTCTTTGGAAACTTATTTTTATGCCTTCTTCTCTAAATTTGCCCACACTTTTTTTTGTTTTTTTTTTTTTGGAGTGGTGTGGGACAACCGTTCTCCAACTTTAGTGATCATTGTTTCATATAATTGCTTGTAGAGTTTGTAATCTTATGACATAATGTTTTTAATAAGTTATGGGGTTATGTTGTGGTTGATATTTACTCTAAAAATGTGTAGAAAATGATGTTTGTTTTAAGGAGTGAAAATTCGAAATGGTGCGTGTGGTTGAGAAATGTTTAAGATATTACACTTTTTAAAATCCTCTTAGTTAAGTGAAACTTTCTAAGTAGCTTCCTAATTCTAAGATCAACGTTGGGTATGTTTTCACATTTAGACAAGAATGAGGGGTGGTCAAGGAGTATTTATGGACTTGTATACTAGCAATAGGTAGATAAAAAGGAAAAAAATGAAGAAAAAAGATCAAGTAGCTTGACTCTTGACGATTTATCCTAGAAGGTGTTTTTATTTATTAATAGAAAAAATACTTGTGCTTTTATTAAGGATTTTACGGTAACGTGTCGATTTGCAACTTTTTATTCTTGATATTTTAACTTTTCGCGATGCATTTAGAGTATGATGATAGACAATATAATTATAACAATGGCGTATCGCATATGACGTGCTTTGTATTACGTATGCATAATAAGTTTCATATCTAAAAACTTCACTAACCGAGTTAGTTCACGTATTTTAAAAACACCGAAGGATCCTGAAACGTAAACAAATTAGAAAAATGTTATAATAAGCATGCAATTATTGTTTGCTTATAAAATGATCATAATTAGTTGGTATACTCAGCCAACCCTGAAAGAACACAAATCACATTATTCCTGAAAAGGATCATTTTATCTCAACCCATGATCAACTCTAAGCATCTAATTTTGATGAAAATTAAAGTTAGCCAACAAAGTGAATTGAAGTACCTCCCCATTTGGTATTACTCAACCACTAGAAGTATAGCATAAATATAGAAAGAATGAATGTAACATGAAGAATAAAAAATAGATAAAGGTAAAAAATTTAAAAATAAATAGAAATAAGAATTACAAAGTGTCCTTTGCATCCGTTTCCAAGGCTTTAGCACATTGCTTTGAAATTAGTCCCATTAAAATTCTTTATATTGAACAAGAAAGTGACTGACCCACAAGGCCACACAACATGCCAAAGGATATTTTTACCTTTTATTATTTAATTAATTTATACAACAAAATATAAAATATTTAAAATAAAAAACAGAACATGATATGACGTGGCAAGAAGGCAACGGACCGTTAAGGTTGATCCAGTCACAAATCACATGAGAAAGCAACTGAAGGAATAACCACACATTAGATAAAGATTTCCAAATTTGTGAATTGTAAACAAGGAAGAAGTTTTAAGAAAATATCATTTTTATTCAACCACCACTTTATTGACACGTGCTTTTACATGTGGCAAGACTGTTGTTTTGTTGCTGAGCTGACCACGAAATCTAACGGTGTTGGTTGCTCACAACATGAAAGAGAATTACACATTTTTTTGTTTCATATTTTTCTTAACTTGGCTAAAACTGATATGGGTTGACTTATAATATTTATTATTATTCTCAATAAATTTTAAATAAACAATTAATTACTTCGTATCAAATTACTAATCACAAATCACAATGAGTAAAAGTAATTATATTAATTTTATAAAATTTATATCATTACGTATTTAGTATTTATATATACGAATATAAAGTTATCCAAACAACGTTATAAGTCATCTTGAACTAAGTAAATACTCTATCAAGTAATATCATCGCTATTGTAAGCGGGTTTGTGCTCATAATTTCCGATCCGAAGCTTGGCCCCACTCGGCCCGTAAAACGGTTTGTTTTTTCCTCAGCCCAGCCCAAACTACTACGATTACGAACGATAACCACATTGAGTACATCCTTTATAAACCATGGCAAAATTACACTCATTCAACTTTATTTCTAATTATACTTGATGCTTTTTTTTTTTTTTAATAGATGCACTTTTAATAGTTACATATTTACTCCGTATAAATTGATAGAAAAGGTAACACAATATGTGTATTAAGAAATTCTTGTAGTTTATAACAAGTGATAAAAAAAATGAATATTCCAAAGCACCACTCACAAGGGAAAATAAATTCTTGTAACATTCTACAACAATTGTATTGTTCTTGCTAGCTTTCCATGGTAAAGAAGAGAAGGTTGTAAATAACTTAAATTTTATCTTGAAATAATACATTTTTTTGACACTCCCTATTAGGTATTTTATTTTTAAACGAGGATAAATAATTGGTAAAATAAGTGCTCACAACTTGTGATATGTGTTGGTTGGTTTCCTAATATTTACACATTGTTCAAGTTCTTATCGGTCTTGAAAAAAAAGTTGGAATCAATAAACTTGCTAGTTTAGGTGTGGTATGAAAATGTCTAAATAAGAGAGTTTAATTAAAAATGCAAGCTAATGTGTCTCAAATAATACTTTAATTGATTTAAAGAGTGTATAATATGTTGGTTGGGTTGCACAAATGAATGGAGTGACCTTTATAGGCATTCAATTTTTTAAGACCGAAACCAATTTAGTTTTGTAGTATTTAAATTGAATTTTCTTGAGGAGTGTTATACACACCAACTATCTTATACGCTTCAAGAACTTACATACATGTTAGAGGTTCTACACATTTACTATCCTAACACTAATAAGCTTGTTTAGACTCTATTATAGCTCTAGAACCTTTTGAAGAGCGCTAAACCTATGTTTTGCACCAAGTAAACTTTTGTGACTTTGCATAAGGATTTATCACGACCATTTCTTCATCAACCCAAAAAACATTAGACCCTCAAGTTTGAGCCCATCCGAGGCTTGTTTGGCACACCACATTA